CCAGTACACATGTACTCATTGGGTACCTATTTCATATTACTCTACCGAACAGCCTGGGCACTAATTTATCCCTTCTTTTCCGCGAACAGCCTGGGCACTGGTTTTTTCAATGGCTGCTTTCAGTTTCATCTCTCGTACGATTGTGGTTTGAAGTCTTTGGAGCGAATTTATTGACTCATTCACTCATCGAAGGTAAGAAAAACATTGTAAGGGAATATTTAAAGGATAGTAGAGTAGCCTTCTGTGCATTTTATTCCCCATTGCTACGTTGCTCGTGAAATTGGTACATCTTAACTTGGTACAGCATGTTGCCCAATTCAAACAGGAAACTAATTCCGCTTTTACCGACATATAAAAGCTTACCTTCGTATATAAGCTTAACTTAAGTACAGTATCATCGGCTGAACTTCTTTAGTTGTTTCATAATTTCGGAAAGTTTTTGTAAAATTGGGTGCCCTAATTTCGGGCAGGTTACCCTAATTCCTGCCGATCGTAACATTTGCAATTGGTGATGTTTTCGTCGCTTTTTTTGGTGATATTCTTCACTATCATGATAAAAAGTCACCCATAAGCTTATTTAAATGATCAAACAAGGAGTATTCATGTTAAATATCACATTTTCCCCGAAATTAAAACCGTTTCCGCTCAGTTTTTCATACGGTGGACAAGGTAATGCACCTATCAATGTTAAGCCCCAGGGTGGGGGGCTGGCCCTGGTTACATGAGACCGGTACGAACTCTGACCGGTACGACTCAGACCGGTACGATTAAGTTTACATGAGACCGGTCTGTAAGTACGAAGCGATTACATGAGACCGCTACGAACTCAGGGTAGTATCGAAAACGAAGACCCCTAAAACGAAGACCGAAGACCGAAGACCTACTCGAAAACGAAGACCCACTCGAAAACGAAGACCTACTCGAAAACGAAGACCCACTCGAAAACGAAGACCCACTCGAAAACGAAGACCCACTCGAAAACGAAGACCCACTCGAAAACGAAGACCCACTTGAAAAAAATTACGACAGTTCTTTTGACCGCTTTGCTACGCAATGTTTTGGGGAATATTGTTGACCAAGGGTTGCGTGACAAAATATTAATGACAGGAAATGAACAATAAGCAGACTGAGAACGTCTTGTCCTGGTTTCGTTGAAATCCTACAAATATGTGAAAGCGAAACTGTACTTTGCGAAACGAAACGAAACCAAACTGTACTTTTCGAAACGAAACGAAACCAAACTGTACTTTGCGAAATGAAACGAAACTGCGACGAAACCGACTATAAAACAAAACACTAAACAAAATAATAATTAACTAAACAAGACTTGTGCCGCTATTTACGAGTTTTTGTGCGATTTTGCCATTCCCGTCGATGGCAAAACGGCTTTACAAAAAAATCGAGACTTCGAGACATACAGAACCACTCAAAAAACAAGACTGCGAGACCCATGAAATTTTTGGGCCATCACGCGTCACGCAAAAACCCTTTGCCCTCCACCCAGGGTAATACGAGACGCGTGTGAAAGAGGTCACATGCACAGAGGTCACAGAGGTCAGTGCGACCATGTGCTCCTTGGTGCCATCATGTAATTGTCTTGGTTGGTGTGGCGGGTATCTGGCAATCAAAACAATGAACAATGAACAAAACAGTTGTAAACAAAGCTCTTGGTGTAAGCTCAACATCATCTGTCAGTGTTCAGCTGAGTTTTCGCTCTTATCTAGTTTTACTTGTGTTAACTGGTTGCTGATATCTACTTATTTTTCTTGTTTTGGTTAATAAAACGTTACTGTTATTGTCGTCATCATCAGTTAGCCTGCGTAGCAGTCGATTCCTTTCCGAGAGGGTGGGAGGCGCGCGAAGGCGAAAAGAGCGAAAAAAAAAAAGTTGTAGTGGGGAGGGGTGAGGCGTGAAAAGTGTCATTATTGTGTCACGCAATATCAAACACCAAACTCATCCGTGGCCCAAAACATTGCATAATTTGCTTTTTTTCGTTTTCGAGTAGGTCTTCGTTTTCGAGTAGGTCTTCGTTTTCGAGTAGGTCTTCGTTTTCGAGTGGGTCTTCGTTTTCGAGTAGGTCTTCGTTTTCGAGTGGGTCTTCGTTTTCGAGTGGGTCTTCGTTTTCGAGTGGGTCTTCGTTTTCGAGTGGGTCTTCGGTCTTCGGTCTTCGTTTTAGGGGTCTTCGTTTTCGATACTACCACGAACTCAGACCAGTACAGACTTCAGATCGGTCTCCATGCAAATGCGTGTTTCTGTTTACATGAAGCCGGTCTGAAAAATCATCTCAGACCGGTCTGACTCATTCTGCTCGTGTTTACATGGTTCCGCGGTCCGACTTCAGACCGGTCCGAGTGATTCGTGTCGGTTCAGCAACTGGAATGAGTGAAACCAGCATGATATGATTTTTCAGACCGGCTTCATGTAAACAGAAACAAGCATTTGTATGGAGACCGATCTGAAGTCGTACCGGTCTGAGTTTGTACCGGTCTCATGTAACCAGGGCCTAAAAGTGTCCGGAAGTAAGGCTGTCCAGAATTACGGCAACATACTGTAGAATCAATTCTGACCTAATCGAAGGGAATCGATACACGAATCCCTTTTAATACTTGTAATAAATATGTGACGCACAGGTCCTCGCAAAGCTCGGATGGGTATTAATTAATATAATATTATTATTGTAGTTGGGGTGTTAGGGTGATAACCAGGCTTTAGTGATCGACTGGAGTTCGCTAGTCTTCCAACATCTGCATGTATGACTTTCCTGTTCACTGTGTTTTCAAAGAGCGACTGACTTTCAGCTGGATGAGTTGCATGACACCACTTGAATAATGTTTTGAATTTCCGACAAATTTGCACAGTATTATTAATGCAAAGAACAGTCCAGAATATAGCCAGAAAAGGCTATACGCGTGACGTAACGAAACCATTGTTCTCAGAGAAAATACGAAAAAATCACCAAAAATATTCACTGAAAAATACATCGTTGTTTCCCAGTCCATTTGCGACCTTTGTCCTACACATCCGGGAACTTATTTGTATGTTTCCGAGAGGAATGCAGTCAACGAGCAACACGACGAAGTCTTGGACGAAAAGGTTGTATGTGAAGAGTTCTACAAGTGTTTTAGTTTCGTCTTCGCGACGGCGTCGCCGCCATTTTGATTATGTACATTACGGTAAGTCTATCTTTCATTTCATTTTGTGCTCTTCACAGAATTTTGACAAGGAAATGAACAATTTTGCTGAATTCTTCTGTTCATGTTCCATCTTTGTTCGAGATCTGGGCACGGTAGACCATTTCAGTTTATGGTAGACCATTTTTGAAAATCGAGTATCTGTTGCGAATTTTCTGCTTTCACTCACGGATGAAGTATTTGCGTACGAGAATTTAGGCATTTGTCATTTTGCGGTACTCAAAACCTGAATTTTTTGTCTCCGGCAGAAATGTAAGCTTACCTTCACTGCAGGGAAAAGTTGAACTCTATATTTTGTAGTATTTGTGGAATAAACTTTGGTACAGACTCTCGCTCGTTCAGGTACTTGTTAATTTGCCGAAGGTATTAGAACAATGATTGGAGTACAACAGTACTTCTTGATTCTCCAAACTTGCATTGGTGGCCCACAACTATTAATTTAGGAAACCAGTGCATTGTTTTGAAGCCCCAGTGTGGTTAGGGGCACAATAATCATGCCCCTAAACCACCACTTTTTTGTCACGTATTCCCCACAAGCTGTAACAAAAAAATTAAGAAAAACACTTGCCACACTCGTTGCATTCAGGAGGAGGGCCTGATCGCAGGTTAGCTATATTCTGGACTGAAGAACTTTCAATGAAAACTTTTTACTTTTTAGCTCAGGATTGAGCTTTTCGTTATGGTTGGGAAAAATTTGTTAGTTTATAACTTAAAGGTGTAAACTTTTCTTGGTAATTCCGCTGACCAGCACATAATGCCTGATCGATCGATCGATCGATTGATAGCTTAAACAGCTTTGAACCAAAAACAAAATTTAATAAAATGTAAGGTATTTGAATAAGCTTAAATATTTTGGCTGCAAAACCTTTTTGCTTGTTAATGTTGTGTAGACCTTAAGTTTATTCATAGTTTCTGTGTAGAAAAGCAGGCTACATCTGAGGCTTGTGTTTATAATAGTACTTATTATTTTAAATTTCTCTGATTGATTTTTCCACTACATGTAGTTTTATACAGTTTTTATTAAGTTATATTGTATGAATAAAGTCCCTTTTTATCTAAATCAGTCTATAAACACAAAACATTCATTACCTCTGTTACACATCTGTAACAGATGTCATTCTTGAAGTCGAAGGGAATCAAAGTCGTGGAAGCAAACCCCTATTTTTTTTATCAAATCTCTCAAATTTCCACTTTGTTTCTCATGGATATACATGTATATATATCAATAATCAAATCAGCAATCGATATTCAAATACTAATTGAATTCAAAAATCGAAGCTCAGGAATTTTATAGGAGGAACACATCAGATACACTGTAGGCGATTGTGTAATTCTGGGTAAGTTAAAAATTGAAAATAAATCGCAAATAAGACAAAGTGACAGGTTTGGTCTCAGTCTGCATTTTATACCCAGTCTGCGATCTGCAGTCTGCATTTTATACAATGTATACAAATAAATGAAGAAGTGTTCTCAAGTCAAAATACTCAGAAAAAATTCAGAGTATTTCGATTTGAGAACACTTCTTCATTTCACTTTATCCAAGTCACTCATTCCACTTAACATTTATACAATGTATACATTTTATGCATTGTATACATTTTATACTTTGCTCCGACGAAGGGCTAACGCTCGAAACGTCAGCTTCTAGAAATTCGCTATGGCGGTTAATTTACCTTTATCAACTTTGAGTTGATAATCAACTTAGTGCATTTTATACTGACCAATTAAGTGCACTGACTGTAGATTGGGCGTAAAATGTGTGAAATATTGTAACATTAATTAGTTGAAAACAAGGCCTGAAAAAAAATCAGGCTCTGATGGGATTCGAACCCATGACAAGTGTGATTCTGGTGCAAATGCTCTACCACTGAGCTATGAAGTTACTGGTAGCTGGTCAATTGCAAATTCTATTTATACCCATCAACTCAAGTGATGAAATGACGATGATGAATATAATATGTCGTTGTTTATATTATAATTAATATGCGGTGCCAGTTAATTGGATAATAGAAAATGTTCCACTTGCCTCTTCAATAATATTGTTTGTTTCATCCTTTCTCTCGTATACACCTATTTCAATTAACGTTGTTGGATAGAAGGCAAGCATAAAGCCTACAAGACAAGACCGAATGGTAGTCTGGGTATTCATTTCAATTTACATATCGGTGGAAAAGAAATCTACAAGTTTTTATTTCGCACGTGATGTATTTATACAATACGGTTAATGCCCCGAATTAGCCTGATAATTTGTTTTTCCATGTTTGTCACTAGTTGATTCTGCTAAAATTTACTTACTTACGCCTAGTACCCCGCCTGGGGCATAGGCCGCCGACAAGTGTCCTCCAGACGTCTCTGTCCTGGGCTTTCCTCTCTAGCTGGCTCCAGGTCAGCCCCGATCTCCTGATGTCTGCTTCCAGGTTCCGACGCCATGAGTTTCTTGGCCGTCCCCTCCTCCTCTTACCCTGGGGGTTCCAGGTCAGGGCTTGCCTCGTGATGTTCGTTTGAGGCTTGTGGAGAGTATGACCTACCCATCTCCAATGCCTCTTCATGATCTCGGCATCTGCTGGCATCTGGTTGGTTCTCTGCCACAGGTCGTTGTTGCTGATGGTGTTTGGCCAACGTATCCGGAGAATTCTTCGTAGACATGTGTTAATGAAGGTCTGCACTTTCTTTGTGGTTGCCACGGTTGTCCTCCACGTTTCTGAACCATACAGTAGGACAGGTTTGACGTTACTATTGAAGATCCTGATCTTGGTCTGAAGTGTCAGTTCGTTTGAACTCTAGGTGTTCTTCAACTGCAGGAAAGCTGCTCTTGCTTTGCCGATCCTGGCTTTGACGTCAGCTTCCGTGCCCCCCTGATTGTCAACTGCACTGCCCAGATATGTGAAGGCATCCACCTCTTCCAGAGGTTCTTCTCCCAGCCTAACTGGTTCAACGTTCATTGTGTTAGCTTTGAGGACCTTGGACTTTCCCTTGTTGATGTTAAGGCCAATTTGGGCAGAAGAGGCTGCCACGTTATTGGTCTTCTCCTGTATTTGTCGATGTGTGTGAGATAGTAGTGCCAGGTCGTCCGCAAAGTCGAGGTCGTCAAGCTGTATCCAAGGTGTCCACTGGATTCCATTTCTTGCTTGTGCTGTAGATGATCTCACAATCCAGTCAATCACAAGCAGGAACAGAATTGGCGAAAGTAAACAACCTTGTCTGACTCCCGTTCTCATGTTGAAAGCTTCTGTGAGCTGCCCTCTATGAACGATTCTGCTGGTCAACCCCTCATATGAGTTACGGATGATGTTAACAAACTTTACCGGCACCCCATAGTGTCGGAGAAGCTTTTTTTTTTTTCTTGTATGCGTTTCTGTAGCTGAGTGCTTTTTTACAGGATGGGGTTGCTGGCCCAATGCCCAACCCTCCTCCTTTCTCATCCGGGCTTGGGACCGGCAATGGCGGAGTTGCTAAAATTTAGTTTGGCTAAAAGTAGCTTACTTCTACAGGTTTATAAAAACAAAAAGTCAACGTTAGAAATAATGTTTTTCATGTTACTTGTCATTAGTATTCGGTACGTGCAGCAGCTTTCTACGTTTTCCCATGCTACCTTTCGGTCTTGTCTTGCGGGCTTTTAAAAACATTTCTATCCGAAAACGTTACAGTGAAGATGACGCTACCGTTGCCACTCGACAAAGATTTTGATTAATTTTTGACGTCTTTTTGACAACTGATGGGTTCCGTTTTGTGACGCCATATTTGAACTAGACTAGAAACTAAAACCATTCAAATTTCACGACTCCGCCTCCAACACTCCTTGGATTTTGATTGGTCAAGTCAAACGGAACCCATCCGAAAGTCGTCAAAAAGTTGTTAAAAAGATGAAATTTTTGACGACTTTCGGATGGGTTCCGTTTGACTTGACCAATCAAAATCCAAGGAGTGTTGGAGGCGGAGTAGTGAAATTTGAATGGTTTTAGTTTCTAGTCTAGTTCAAATATGGCGTCACAAAACGGAACCCATCAGTTGTCAAAAAGACGTCAAAAATTAATCAAAAACTTTGTCGAGTGGCAACGGTAGCGTCATCTTCACTGTAATTGAAATAGGTGACGAGAGGAGTACAATTAATCCCAAATTGTACTCTACAGGAGTACGATGCTGGGTAGGGATGCTCGTAGGGATGCTGCTTGTAACTGCGGTAATTTTAGGGAATTTATAAGCTACATGCATCTCGCGAGATTTGCAAGTTCTGTTTATCACAGCTGTCACATCGTTTCAACTGTCACTGTTCTTTTCGCGGTTTCCTGTTCTCAGTCATAGCAATAATAGCATCTTATTTTAAACTGTTTTGTTTTCTTTGTTGTACGCTCACTACGCAGCCCGATTTGAAGCAATTTAAAATGGTTATGGTTGATCGGATTTCGATTTCTTAGCAAATCCCTACAAATTGTCACAATAGTATTCTGAAGGTGGTTTTAGGTGGTTTTAGGCCACTCCATGTTTTAGTACTTACCTGGTTCGTTGTGAACCAGCATCGGCCGGAGATATTCCCGAATTAACAGACGCAGACAGGTCAGAATCTCAAGTCAAAAAAGTAAAACCCAGTCAAAAGGATCAGCATCTTTTCAACAAACTTCATTGTTCAGTATAAATAAACCCAGATCGTTATTATTTATCTGAATAACTGAGTTTTGTTCCATTTTGTGTTATTTCAAGGATTGAACGATCAGTAAGTTGCTACACCATTGATCATTATAAGCTACATCACAAAATCTACTTAAAAAATGTCCGAAATATTTCTATAAACAAAACGTAATATCATCAAATGGCGGGGGCAGATATAGTGAGAACTATTACTAGTATAATTATATAAAGTCATTGCCTTATCAGCTAAAATCAGCCAAATAAACAACGCTACTCTCATTAAAACTGATTTATTCTTGGTTTTTGTAACATGCTCCGTTTGTCGAACTTTTGTGACATCAGAGTAATGGTTTTCTAACAATCCTCTTGGGAAACAAAATAATATGTCAAATTTCTGGCCTAAAAAGTGGTCGCGGTCACTTAAGAAATTTGAGCAGCGGCCTCTTACAAGAGAGTTTTTGAAACAGTATTTGACTGAAAAACAAAACGGTTATTTACAAAGTGGTCACTTACGGGAGGTGGTCGCCCATTAACATTTTGCAATTTTTCGCCATTTTTCAAGGTCAAAGGAAATCTACAAGAAATCTGCCAAGACGCAAAATGACGCACATCAAGGAAGAAATATTTAAGAACGAGAACGAAGAGCATAATAATACCTTCAGTGTACAGACAGGAGAGAAGCCTTTTGAATGCAGCGAGTGTGGCAAGTGTTTTTCTCTTGGAGTTTACCTAAAGTTACATAAGCGAACACACACAGGAGAGAAGCCATTTGAATGTAGCCAGTGTGGTAAGTGGTTTCGTCAGAAAGGAGCTCTAAACCAACATAAACGAACACACACAGGAGAGAAGCCTTTCGAATGCAACCAGTGTGGCAAGTGTTTCAGTCGGGCATCTCTTCTAAAACAACATACGCGAATACACACTGGAGAGACGCCGTTTGAATGTAACCAGTGTGGCAGGTGTTTTCGTCAGAAAGAAGCTCTAAACCAACATAAACGAACACACACAGGAGAGAAGCCTTTCGAATGCGACCAGTGTGGCAAGTGTTTCAGTCGGGCATCTACTCTAAAACAACATAAACGAATACACACAGGAGAGAAGCCTTTTGGATGCAACCAGTGTGGCAATTGTTTTACTTGTGAAGTTGACCTTAAGATACATAAGCGAACACCCACAGGAGAGAAGCCTTTCGAATGCAACCAGTGTGGCAAGTATTTTTCTCGTGGAGTTGACCTGAACATACATAAACGAACACACACAGGGGATAAGACATTCGAATGCAACCAGTGTGGGAAGCATTTTAATCATGCAGGGAACCTGGAGAAATATAAAAGAAGAATACACGCAGGAGAGAAGCCATTTGAATGTAACCAGTGTGGCAAGTGTTTCAGTCAGGCTTTTCATCTAAACCAACATAAACGAATACACACAGGAGAGAAGCCTTTCAAATGCAACCAGTGTGGCAAGTGTTTCAGTCGAGCATTTTATTTTAAAGAACATAAACGAATACACACAGGAGAGAAGCCTTTCGAATGCAACCAGTGTTGCAAGTGTTTCAGTCGGTCATCTCTTCTAAAACAACATAAACAAACACACACAGGAGAGAAGCCATTTGAATGTAATCAGTGTGGTAAGTGCTTTAGTCGGACAGGAACTCTAAAGGAACATAAAAGAACACACACAGGAGAGAAGCCTTTCGAATGCAACCAGTGTGGGAAGTGTTTCAGTCGGTCATCTCTTCTAAAAAAACATAAACAAACACAAACCTGTACAGGAGAGAAGCCGTTGGAATGCAACCAGTGTGGGAAGTGTTTTAATGATGGAGGGAACCTCGAGGAACATAAAAGAACAATTCACATAGGAGAGAAGCCTTTCGAATGCAACCAGTGTGGTAAGTTCTTTAAGAACACAGGAAATCTACGGAGGCACATCGAGGAAGGGATATGCAAGAACAAGAACGAGGAACATGATAATACCTTCAGTATCTGTGAACTTTTAGGAAATCTTAAAGAAATCAAACAGGAAAACTGCTGATAAAGAGTGCATTCTATGATAAAATATTCCGACTGGCTGGAAACCAGACTGTCAACCAAGCATGTGGTGGGCGGCGAGTTTTGTTTTAATGATGGAGGGAACCTCGAGGAACATAAAAGAACAATTCACATAGGAGAGAAGCCTTTCGAATGCAACCAATGTGGTAAGTTCTTTAAGAACACAGGAAATCTACGGAGGCACATCGAGGAAGGGATATGCAAGAA